CCTTAAAAAAGTCTCGTTTCTTTGTTTTTAAGTTATATTAGCACTTTTCGGGTAATTCAACCATACTGAATGCAGTTCTGCACGACGTAAACAGCTCTTTGAGTATGTACTTTGTAGACGGACATTAAGGAGGCTGCAGAAACAAGGACAATGCGTTCAACTTTCACAGGCTGATTTTTTGCTACATTAGATTTTGTATCAACTCCAGAAACTGATCTATTAATATACACATAATTATTGGTTTCTTTTTCAGATCTGTTGCCCTCTTTTGCACTAATGGTTCTCTAAGTTTGCTGACGATCTATTTCGCACAGAAAAATATTAAAAAGCACTCTTGTCTGTCTGTAGGTAAACATTCGAGTAAGTTTTGATGTGCCCCGATGAGCTTCTTGGCAATCACAACCACTTTCTGCTACCCGTAATACTAAATCTTTGTTCAAATTACAACTTGTTATTACCAAAATAGAAAAGGCCGTGAGAGTACAAGACATGCATTTTAATATTTAATAATGCTGAAGTCTTTCAAGACAATAAAGTATTTTTTGTTGGGGATGTTGCTTTCCCTGATAGATCTGTTCATGATAAACAGTTTAATATGATAAGTAGCTCAAAAGAGACATGTTCTAATTTTTTTTATTTGCGATATAAAATAACCAGTCTAAAAAGTTCAGTCTATTTAACTATGTAAAAAATTCAGTGGGTATAAAAGCATTTAATAATTAAAGTGAACGCGAGTTAATTATAATGTACTGGTATAATACTAATTAGTCGAACAGTCAATTAGTGTTTGATTGGATGAGTGGCAAAGCAGAGTGAAATCAGTGAATAATGTTCAAAAGAATCACCTATACCTTGCATCGAAGCACAAAGTGAAGACAAGGAAAGTGTTGTAATAGATCAAACCACCTACAACAATCCTGGAAGTATTAAGTATTTTGAATAGTTTGGATTGAGATAGTAACAGAAGAATTTAACTCATTTGCTGCACGTTTTCCCGCTGTTTCGCCATAAGCACGTACAGAGCGCACAGGCGAAGTGAGGATTGAAAAAAGTTCTATATTTAACCAAGCAGATTTTGTGGTGAAAGCCATTAGCGTAGCGGATAAAACTGCTTAATTACTTTCTGTGTACCGCAGGAAATGACGCTAGTAGCCCTATTTACTTGAGCTTAATTCATTTATTGCGACTGAGTATGAGCCAAAGCATCTGAACGCCTCCATCGACCTCAACATGAATAGAATGTTTCACAAATACCGGCCTTTACAAAGTATTTCCTTGATTAGTGACATACGTAGTAAACAGACGTCGGTGGGTGTGCCCAGCCAGTTTTTTATGAACTTGTGCTTATACGCACTCGTTAGTCGCTGTTATGAAGTAAATATTGTATGCAGTTGCAATCTATTTGTGACAGACGCCTTAATCGATAGTTTGCTACCTTATTACTTTGTATAAATGTCTTATTGATGCATTCGGAAAGTTAATGATGCCGGATTTTCTATAAAGATATGCAAAGATGCATCATAATCACTTTCATTACACATATTTATGTGGGCTATGAAGTTATATGCACTATCAAAGACGTCGATCCTAAATTTTACAGCTACAGCGACCTGCTAGGGTGCCTTTAGCAAGACCCTCATCCAAACTTCTGACTGCGCCCGAACTGCTGTCAGAAAAGTCCTTTCCATCAGCGTTCATCAAAGGTGTAATATATTTTTTGAGATATAAAGCCACTAACTGCGCACTCAATAATATGTAGTTTCTTGCTTCGGCATCAAGAGGCGTATAAGAGGCTCTCAGTGCCAGTGCATTTCTTACAGTCATTTTCATAATGTACTAATAATTGCAAACGATACCGAACAACTCGGGGTGCAGAAATGACTCGAGTATACTCGGAGGAAAAACGTGTAGAGCTGCAAAATTTTGACCACATTGGGTTATTGCCTGAGTTCGTTCTGTACTTTTACAAAGTGGCGGGTTGTTGCTTTTATCCACCAATAGATTTGAACAGAAAGCCTCAACGCAAACCTTCGACACTTTCACAAAATCTGTCCGTTGGCTTTCAAATTTTCTTAAATTTAAGATATTTTCATTTGTATTGGGGTTTGTAGCAAGATTACTCAACTGTTCGGCAAAATTGGGTTAGAGCAATATTGCTAACCTTACCATTGTAACTACCGTCTGCCTTGGAAAAGATGATTTATGAAGTGTACAATATCAGCACGAAAACTAATGACTTAATATGACACCATTAAAGTAGTCGGTCGTACAGTTATTGAGTAACAGTCTACCAGTCTAGCTAAGATGCCAATCATGTCTTTGTTGCTCTCGGAAGCCTTTGATTTGGAGTCTGGTTGATAAGATGTTGACAATTCAATCCGTAAAAGTAAATATTTGTGACAAAATGTGCCACACCCCAACTTTACAAAGGTGCCATAGGAGACAGCCTAGTATTTAGGTCGTAAAACATATATACCTAAAGCTATCGGCGTAAAATAAAACATTTACAACATGTCAAAATCTTTTCAGGTTTTGTGTGTGTAACATTCAGCCACCAAATTTGTCCATAATACCGAACGCTGGATGAAATCTTACATTCCTTTTATACACAGTCATTACTAAAGACACTGGCTGGACTGACCTTAAAGGCCTTTCTACCCTGTCTCTGCAAGTTTGATAGGTTTAAACTTTGTGAATTCAGCCTCAACAAGTAAACTGTGTCACGTCCCTCATATTTCGTCGTTCCGAATCAAGAACTTTTGCTCCAATTTCTCCATTAGGGAATCTGGAGTGTTAGTAAACTACTCAGCACACACCCCTGAAAAAAGTCAATATTTGGTTGTAATTTGTTCTTGACGAAACCACTGTCTCACGATTTCGTTCTCACATCCAATGATTTAACATTTGGCAGTGTCACCTTGTCATAAAACACTGACAACCCATGGGCGGCTTGATGGGAAATCAAATCTGTAGGCGAGATTTAAAAAAACTGCCAGGATTATATTCGCGTCGTAGCATTGCATGATGCAATTTTCATATAGGCATAAATGTTTTTATCTTTGGTAATTCCTTTCTTGCATTCTTTCGATAAAATGCCATGAAATACTTTCCCTACAGTGGTTAGGTGTGAATTAGCCGTTGCTTTCTCATGGACATTTCCAGTGGCCACTCGTGGAATCTCTCCGGTTACCCACTAAAATGGGTCGTAAATTAAAGCTTCCCATCACTTTAACCAACTTCTTTTCCTGCAGTCTGCTAAAATGGAGAAAAGGTTGAGTTTTAGCCATCTTAATATGTTTGCTTAGTTTAATGGAAGTTTAGTGAAGGGAAAATATTTATTGGTGGTGTCCGCACAAGAGATTCGGACTAGTAACGTTACTGTTTCACGTAGTTGCGTGAATTGTGTTAATTCGCATACATTACCGCTAGCTAATTATACCTAGGCCCCTTGTCAAGTTAACCCCTGCCAACAATCAGTGTGTCTGTCTCGTTCCCACGTCCCGGCGTCCCATCACTTATGCAGGCAAGTTTGTCCGTGCAGCCGTGTGCAGGTGCCCCTCCCATGTCACCCTTGTCACCCATGCCATCATTCAGACACGTTGATGTTTACTCGTTCGTCTGAACCCTCATGTACACGTCTGTGACTTATAAGTACGCACGACCCAGAACCTACGAGTACTCGGCTGACAAAAGAGCACAGTTGTTGATGTGTCTCTCGCCTACAGTATTCTCCCCTCGACAGATGTATCAGAATCGCTTCTACATAGACGTATCTAAGGCAGTGGATTCTGCTTGCTCCGATACACTTTCATGACTTCCACCTTCACCCGGGTGCACGGTTCCTATTTATTCCTAAAGAAACTAGGCGAGCATTCCACGAAAAAGGCTGTTCAGAAAAGGAAAATATTTCATCTTACACTTACTTTCCCAACAAATTCATTGGCTGATTAACCAATGAGGTCAAAAATTACTTCTTACTAATTATTGTGGAATGTGATTCATCGATTGCCTCTCTGACTAGACATTCGTCCTTCTACTGCATAGTTTGTGGTCCAATTTATAGTGATCCCTACAAACTATTTAAGACATACATACATATTTGGCTTCTCCGATTCGACCTAGCCAGTACAAATAAATAATCAGTAGTTCTGAAGGATATTAGCCGTGAAAGAAATGACTTGTAGAGCTAAAAAAGCGTAACGTGGCTGAGAAAAATCAGGAAGGTCTCAAGTTTCACATAAACAAGTTTGTCCAATCGCTTCAGCAACACTTTAAACACTTGTGTAAAGCCTAGGGTTGGGGTGGAGATCCGTGTAGAAGCGCGCAATTTAAGGATACGATACAGTGGCCACTTGGAATGAAGGACGGCAAGTGTCTGACCAAGTCGTTCCATGTTTGAATTGCCGTCGCCATGTCCATAAGATGGAGCAATCAAATACGGGCGTACTTTGTCATTTAGCATAGCGAATTGCACTGGTAATTTCAACCCCTTTTGAAAGGATAAGCAATTAACATTTGTTACTTAGGGTTATTTTATCCAGTAAAGGGCATGGAACCCTAGAATTGGGGAAGCAGTCAATTTTGCTGAGGTATTTATTTTTGGACTTAGGGCCTTTACGTAATAGTGATTAGCGAATTACTTTTGGTAAAGTGCCATTCCAAATAAATAATTTCGACGCTTTTCCAAACTCTGTAATCAGCAGATTCCAAAATAGTCCACATTCATTAGTCAACGATTCAGGCTCTGCAAAAACGCGGTACCCAAAAACGGTCAGTATCCTTTAGGCTGTTGATACTTGTTGACGAAATCGGTAAAGACTAGCTAACCTGAGCATAGCTGCTTGATCAGTGTGTCTAATTACGGTCACATTTTATATCCCATGCAAACCAAGCGAATAGTAATTTGATAAATGCCAATTCAAACGCATACTCACAGTCAATACATAATCCAACATTTCAGCAAATGACTTGAAAACTGATTTGTTTTTCATTGCTAAATATTATAAATTGTACTCTGGCGTGTCAAATGCATGAAAGGTTTCCTCTAACAGATACCAACCAAGCCGACTGTCTGGGACATGATGAAGTTGTGGAGAGATGGATTCCGACATTCGACTGGGCTTGAACATACAGTTGACTTCAAATGGCTGAGTTTACAATCAACGGTACCCTCATAAAAACGGAATCAGGGTTTATATCCGACGACTATACATTCCTCTCAGGTAACTGGGACCTCAAGCACCGGGCTGAAACACGACAAAGCTGTACAAAGCGGTGGTAGTAATTATAAGGGAAGAAAGACCGGTAGCGATGGGCTAGGATGGAAGATGCCTCGGTTTTCTTAGGCAGGTGCAGGCGAGTGCAACAGCGCAGCATCCTCCTTCTGAATGATATCATGAGTTCCTGGGGTGTGGACCATTCTCACACCATTCACAGAGGTTAAAGCCTGTCCGAATTTGACGTTTGTATTTTGGCTGGTGGTGCTATAGGATGGCTCATTTTCAACTCTCACAGCGTGTGGAAATGGGGGGATTTTGTGCAAAAGTAAACATAGTCCGAGGGGAATGAGCGCGGTCGCAAGAAGGGTGCAGAGGCTTGTAAAGAACCATAGTCCGTTAAGGGGTTCCACAACAAAATCACAGACCGCTGAAACACCAGTGGCATAGGCATCATGAAGCTTTCGACAATGACCAACTTCCTTCACTAGTGCTGGCCCATATTTAAAAATTAGTTCTTCAGCTTTTTTGGGCAATTCGTTTGCAACATGTACATCGTACAACTTCATGGCTTCAGTGATAACGTTCTGTCGATCTCGGAGCTGATCAATTATGCTGTTAAATATACCCTGAAGTTCCGAGACAGTTGGCCCAATTTTTTGAAGTTTTTCCAGCTTTTGCAGGCTTTCATCCACAGATTCGAGAAGCATTTTGATTTTGGATGAGAAATTAAAGACGATACTTGCCAGTTCATCTGCTCGATTAAGGGTTTCATGAGGGAATCCACTTTGATTAAGGAAATGGTAATAGTCATTCCACAGGCCCGACAGCTCTGTTCCCGACATAAGCAAGGTTGTGTTGTGGGAAGTGACGTTTAAAAAATTTTTTGGTAGCTGCTGGCGGACCTTGTCAAAAGGAATAAGAAAATCGTCGAGGCGAGATGCTAGCTGGACGGACTCCGCTAATGCTGGGGGGAAAATCTCCGTAGCATTTAGCTCTAACAGTGTGTCTCGCATAATGATTTTGCCTTTGTTGACAAAATCACCGATCACCTGTGGTTTGTTGAGGATGGAAAAGTTAAACGTGTCGACCGCCTCAAAGGCCTCCAATATGCCAACATTCTCCTTACAAGCTACGTTTAAGGCTTTGACTGGACTTCGTATTCGAGGGACAGGTATTTTATTACCTTTACTATCCTTGTCCATTGTCCCTATTATCTGGACAATTTTGTCCCAATTGGCATCTAGAAAAGCGTTCACATGAACATCCAGAAGAAATGTGATCGGATATTTCGTTGACTTGTTAGAGTTTATGTCCATAATTGCACGATCAGGACTTATGTAACGACAGAATTCTGTCTGTGCGTAACCGGCAACAAGGAATACTGCGCAGGATGCAGCAACATTGAACGCTAAGAAGATGAGGCAGAACGATGCAATGCAGCGGATTCTTTGCCGTTTTCTAGGTGGAATGGTGACTGGAAGGCAGTGGTATTGATAAAGCAGCAAAGATATTCCAAGTACAATGCAGAAAATATCAAGCCAAATGAAACAGCCAAAAGCAAATATATATGCGGATCCAACAATGAATAGAGGGTGGATTTTTTCTGCGACGATTTCAGCAAGTTTGTCTATCTGCACAATCGATCCACTTAATTTCCCAGCAATATTTTCCAAGTTCTCTTCTGTCAGATTACGTAGTGAACCAGGAATATTCAATTCTACACGCATTCTCTCAAGTGCTTTGCCTAACTGACGCGCTGCCAACTGTCGGCCGGACTTGAGCTGCTCCTCGATCACCTCAGGCGTCCGATTTTGGGCATCAGTTACAAAGTTAAGAGCTATGGCAAAGTCAAATTGAGGTAGGCGCCAATGCGAACTAACAGCTATATCGGATCTTAAAAGAATCGGCAAGTTGCAATCCAAATCCATTTCACATGGTTTCATGGAGGTGAGATTCGTCTCCATATGAATTTGCTCCATATATCCATTCCATCGAGCAATCGCTACACTCAATGAGGAAACTGCGTCTGTATATTCAAGAACGTCGTTTTTCAAAGGCGTGACCAAATTTAGCAAGTTGACTGTATGAGCACCCAGCTTGTCACCGAGCACAAAAGCTCTATCAATGTTAAGCATGCTAAAAATTATGGCATTGAACTCATGTGTGGTCGCGTTTTGCATTTCAACGGTGGCACGAATGAGATCTTCAACAGCTGGCGCAGTGGCCGTTCTCGTTTCATTGAGAAATTCGGTCAAATACAAACGCATTTTTGTTAGGGCTGATGTGATACCAGGAAATAAACTGGTGTGATTTAATAGCAGAGTCGAGTTTTTCTGTGGCTTAGCGGTCAAAGATAAATGAAGTGAATAACTTACAACAAATCCAAGAATGCACAAAAAGAAAAGGAGACAAACTAAAGATGTTAATACAACACACTGTGATGCAATACACACCCACTTTGACTGCAGCCGACGGCGTCGCAGGAAGAACTTCGATTTTGTCGATGAGTCGAGTTCATTAGGTCCGTATCCACCAATACCACTTGGCGCTTTGCTAATATGAAGCTGATTTTCCGGAAGACGAGGGGAAATCGATGACAGTGACTTTCGGTGTTTAAGCCACCAAATGTAAATGAAGCCGGCAACTAAGCCAAGGCACCAAAGGAAGCCAAAGAAAATACCTGCTGGGAAACCCCCAGATCTGATTGTTGCAGCAAAATGCGCAGAAAGTGGCGGTAAGCTGTGATTCTGTGGCGAGTTGTGAACGTTTAGAAGATAATCCAAGAAAAAAGTGAAAATGCCACCATCCAGATTTTGCTGAGTTGAGCTAACAATCGCTTCGGCTGTGTGGTAAAACGAGTCCATTGGTTAAATAGCAGTAATGGGGTAATATCAAAACACTTGGGTCTTTGTCGTCATCAAGTCCAAAATATTTTCAGGGAGCTAACTTTACTACCTTACGAGACATTACCAATCGTGAAGTAGAGCAACACTCCTGATGCACGTAATTGGTTCTCGTTTGAACTAGGTCTTTTATTGGTTGATGTTGGTGTCCAATCAGCACACAGTCAAGCTAGTGACAACTCTGGCACAGCTGATGCCTAGTAGTTTTAGCATGGCGTCACGCCTGTGTCCCTCAAGTCAGGCGTGTCCGAGGTCAGTTTTAATGAATATAAAGGTTCAGGTGAAGGTAAATGAGACCTACATTAGTTCAATCCGTATTGAAGGCATATCACCGTTGGTCTGTCGTTCAAATGATTTTCATTAACAAGTTATAAGACTTCTGAAGTCAGATTATTAAACTATACTGCTAAGGCGTCTAGATCTTAGTGAGTCTGATGTTCTTCAGCAAATACTAATCTTAATGTAATTTTTGACATACTTCTCACTATTTGAGTAATTAATGTGAAGCTAAAGGAGTTGCAAGGTGATAAAAATTTTAGTACAGAAACTATGTTATTTTTGGCTAAATAAAAGCTTGTTTGAAAATTTAGGAAATACACTTGTTAATGTATTGCTTGTGGCGTCGAATCACTTCCTGTCACGACGATTTAAGGCACCAACGGGTACAATAGAAGTGGAAAAAGTTTGCGTCCAATATCCCGACTCATTCGTTCCCCATTGTCAGCTCAAGTTGCCACGCCTGATCACTGCCCCCTGCCCAAGTTCACCACCAATCCCATCATTCAGACCCTTGTCCTTTTCCTAGTCTATCTGTAATCTAGGAGGTAGCAACCAACATCACTCAAGCCCCACCTATGAACATCTGATACCTTTGGGATTACCCATCCTTGTAGACATGCATCACAGCTCAGCTTACTGATCATCTCCATTAGTCGACTGAATCTCTCTAGCCTCTAGCTTTATTGATCGTCTTGATTGACCCTGCCGTGATCGCCTTACTAATTCGATTTTCTACACTAAGTGGTGACGCCTTCGAAAATTTTCTGACTGCCAAATAAATTTTGTGTTGGTTTAGTTAGAATTGTTTAAAGCAGTTTTTGCATCCAGATATGTAGACGTTGTCAAAAGGCATCACATTATGATAAGAATGTGTCTGAAATTACGCGGCAAAGTTATTCTAAGTGCAATTCGTAGAGGATTTCAAGATGAATACTGAGTCGTGTGATCTGTCCAAGTGGCTTCATTTTGGGTAACCAAATATTTTTTTGACATCAATTTATTGATCAAAAAACCAAATTTCGAAACATTTTAGATGAATTTTTCCATACTACCTATTTCGGTTTACCTAGACCAAATCGTCACTGTCCCGAAACCAAGCATCGCGCACAGCCCTCATCAAGCCAGTACTTTGTTTATATTCACCCCTTTTACCGGTTTTGAATGTGACCAAACCGTGCCAAAGGCAACCTGATTTTAGAATGGCGATGATTTAAGGTGTCCATTTTGCACAGATAAGCGATGCTACCCTTTTCCTGCACGACAGTAAACCTAAGTGCTGGACTACACTTTATGTGGATTGTATGAAGCAGTGTAGTGCAGATTGGTGTTTCGCAGAAGTACAAAATAATGCTTTGAAGCATAGTGAGTCAAAAGTAATATTGCAGAAGAATTTCCTTAGTGTGGATGGTAAATTTATTGAGATTCAGATCAAACCTTATTAAACCAAATACACTCTCAACAAAGCTCATGTATAGCACAATTTCAGTAGGTGCTCAAAATGCGAACCACGTTCTTTGATACACTGCTAAGTACTTAAAAGAACAGAGTGGCACACAAATCAGCGCAAGTCTCTAATGACTTTTTACGAGAATTCGTCACCGAATGAGCTGTCTTCGGTTTTCGAGCGTAGGCTAGGCTTAGTTTTGAGAAATTGAGATTCACCCTATAAAGTTGCGGGATGATTTGGAAGAATTTTTCGTAATGGCCATAGACGTACCTGTTCAATGTGCGGAGTAAGTGTGGGAAATATGGCCTCTATTGGCCAGTGTACCGTATTATTACAAGTAACACTTGAGAAAAACCAAGCTATTTTAGAAATCATAATGCATAACAAGCAAATCATGTAACCTTAGATCAGTAAAATGCTTTCACACTAATTTCGTCGTCTACTGGTGCACACTCAGCCGTCTAAATAGCTGCTCGTACATCTAAAAAATAGGGGTGCATTGACGGCACAGTAGCTTCTGATTTACCATATGTGTAACTGAATAATATGCCCTAAAGAAAATGTGATTAAAAGCATTTCGCTCACAAGGCTTTTTTCTGTCTCAAAAGAACATTTGTTCCAGCTTCATTAATGAAATTTACCGCAGTCACAAGGGCTACCTCGACAGAGGGCATGACTGTACTATTTTACATGCAAGTCTGCATTTTTTTTAAAGAAATCTCACATTTAGCTAACGCTGCGTATTTGACAAGAGATAGGCCATCAAATATGGTGTGTGCTCTGAAAATCATTTCACTAGTCCAACAAATTAATCTTTGTAGGAAACTCATGGATTGAACTGCGTTCCATCAAACAAGCTCGACATTTCGCTGACAAAGTGCGTCTTTTGCGAACTCCAGAAGATGCGGGTTCTTTTCATGCTTAAACACAAGCCTTTTAAAGAGTATGCTGGTGTGGATATTTTGACAACTACTATTTGGAAGTGTAATGGTTTGGTGGAGGATGTGATGGCACTGTAAACTTTGTGGGATTCAGTCATTTCTAAAGAGTGTTACTGAATTTCATCCCACAAGTCCACAGTGATTTAACCTAAAAATTCTGGGCAAGTTCAGCGATCAGTTACACTGGTGTAAGTATGCACGAACAACATGAACACTTTAGCAGCATTTTGTCTAAAACAAAGCGAACCATTTCTGATAAAAGAATTAGCGGTCATGCCTATTTCTAGGAGTCATTCATGCTTCGAAAAAGAAAATTCATTACTGAGTAAACATTAGTGCTTATGTGTCTCAATCTGCTGCCGTCACTATTTACGTATGGTGCTCTGAGGCACAAGGGTAATTTAGGCAAAAGAAGGGCTCGCCCGTAACACGAATAGATAAATGAAATTTTTCACGGTGAATGGGTATAATCTGTCATAAAAGCAAAACATGAACATGGTTAAAATATGTCTTTGCAATCCTTTATCTTTTCATTAACCCCGGCTTTGATTTGCCCCCTTTTCGTAGTAATGCAGAGAATTTATGTTCTTGTTTTAGTTTTTAATGTGCATTCGTTAGGTATTTTGTTAGCACACCACATATATTAAGAGTTTTCATTTTTGCATTTTAACAATCTAATAACACGAAAATATGGATTTTCCAAAGATTCAAATTAAATACAGTCTAATGACACTGATATATATCCAAATTTAATATATTTTTAGCAGAACTTCCCGTCGATTTAACAAATGGTTCTGCTTTATCAAAGCTTACCTTTCTTCAGCCTAATTTGCTATTGAAATTTGAATAGAGACAAATATTTGAAGGATTGCTACTTAGCTCAATAGATTTGACCTTGAAGTATTACCAGGGTGGGTTACCATTGCAGAAACTGGTGACCTTTAGCTAGAATCATCTATCTTGGAAACTAGCAATGTCGATAACTTGGCCATCAGAGGGTGGCCAAACTTGGCAAAACACAGTTTTGGCGGAATTCCTAGGCTGATAAATTAAAATGTTTTGATTTGAATGTGGACTACCGAAATAGAGTTATTGGGAGTAGAAAACGAAGCACAACGGTTACGCAAAGAAAAGTCGAAGAAAACGGATGAAATTAATTTATACGGCTCCATAAGCTCTACTTGATACTATAAGTGAGCATTATTTCGTCAACGTTGGCACTTACAGTCCTTACACAAACTAGTATGCCAGCTTAGTTTTTTTGTCATTATTTTACTAATTGAAAAATAATTACCAGTACAAGCCACAAAAGGATTTTTTTTCATTTGTAGAGCATGTGTGACATACCTACTCGACGATAGGTCTGAAATTGACTACCGCGCCTTTTAGAAACCAATGCTTCCCCAGACGTTGATGAATGCATTTGCAAGAGCATGAGCCAATAATCGTACAGAGGTTAATGTCAGAAAAATAAACGCACGCTCAAAAGCCCTAGTAAACATCCAAAATCCCACTTCTTGTAATAACTTAAGACGTTATGAGGGTACCGATAACGTTTAAAAATGTGGTTTTCGAGTTGCAGACAGGTCTAGAACTGCTACCGTCATTGGATCCTTTGGGTTCGTATTGGGTGCATCCGTAAATGATGCGGAAGAGAGGGTACACCAATTCCAGAAAGTTCATGAGAACCTGACAAGGAAGCTGTCATTTCTCACAAGTTTTTTTCGAAGAACTGATATTTTGTAATTGTTTACGTGATTCCTTCAATGTTGCTACTTCTCTAATGAATTCCCACTGACAGCCCATCAGTGTTAATGTGAATTTAGGTAAAGGTTGTCCAGCACATAGTTGGACTTATTCGGACGTTTTACTCTACCTTTGGCTGAAGCAGTGAAAGATCTGTGTGCAAGGCCATGTCCTTGCTCTGGTGTTGGGAGGCTGAGGCCTGAGGTAAACAAGCGGTTAATGTAGTAGTCCAAGGAGCGTGTTTTTGGTTTCTAGCAAAGCGCAACGAGAGTCACGCAAAACTGTTGCAACAAATATGGGGCTAACATGTAGATGTACAATGTTACGATTACAATGCTTTTTAAAAAAAGGTCATTTCGTCTTAGTGAAATCCATTGCAGTTCATTTGATGACCTCTAAAATTGTAGCGAGTAGAAGCCTCAAGATCCACTTTGGTCACAAACTTAAATCGAGGTGTGTAGAGACATCCGGTTATAAAGTCCTTGCTTTGTTGTTGAAAAGTTGATAAAATACTGACTGTCCATGAAGCTGGATTCTAGCTGTAGCTA